TAACCCCCTATCATCCTCATGGCTCACCATTGTTCTGAGACTGTAAGGTGCATGTGTCAGAAAGATTACACAGGACATTTTTTTTTTTAATAAAAAGTAGTCTTTAATGAAACACCTACCTATCTGTACATGGGAAGGTTTAATTTTTACAATGCCCATCACACCTATCTGTTATCAGATATGCAATGACATTAATGCTCTACTTGATGCATACAGAAATATAAAAATAGCAACATATAAACTGTTTATTTTTTGGTGGGGCCCAAATATTGTGAAGCCCTGTACTTGTATAATTAAAGCTTATTTGTAAAGTGTAGTAACCCATATAGCAATCGATTAGGATTTATGTTCACAGGTGTGACAACCATAAACTGAAATCTGATTGTTATAGGTTCATTCACCTTATTAAATAAGCTCCTGCTGCTTTAAAGGGAATCTTTATTCACAGAGTCAAGACACCTATGGGAGATTCATTGGATGGAAGCTGCCATTCTCAGACTTCTGGGTGACTTTGCTGCCCTGGAACCAGTAGATGGCACAGGAGTCAGATAGTGGCAGCTTTCATCTAAAGTGTCTCACAAAGGTTTTTTTGTTTTGCTTCTTATTAGGTTCCCCATGAGTGACCGTTACATTTGTGCGTTTATATATTTATACACAGATTTGTACTCACACATGGATATCCACATATTTTACAGAATACACAGGAAAAGAAAAAAAAAAAGTTTGGTCCATACAAGTGCTGTACATGTATAAAGGTTTTGCTGCTCTGTATCTGAGAAGGTGTATAAAAACAATAAACTCTGTATTATATTCTATACAATGCTGGCCCATGTCTCTCCTACATCAGGGACGGGCATTCAATAGTTCTCTTCAATCAGTGTATCTACAGGTAGCTGGCCTTAATAAAATAGATATTAGAGCACTGGAGGGCAGTAATTCAGAGAAATCCACAAGAAATCAGCTTTCATTGGCCTACACATGCTATTGTAGGTCATATGCCACCCACATTTTGCCAGCAGTGTAGCCAGTTATCATCAGGGATTATCAGGAAGCGTAAGAGACAACAAGCAAGAACCGGCAAAAGTGCGGAATTGACCACAGTGATCTTCCATGTTGGTAAATGTTTGTGAATAATATCTCATTCTAATAATATTAACCAACTTGCCAATGTGTAGGTAGGCGCAAATGTGTCTAAGGCATTTGGGGCTGAGCCATCATTTCAGGAATGCAGATCTTTTTGTTGACTGTTAAATCTGCCCATCCCTGTGTAGATAGGCAACAAAGGTCACAACATCACATTTAATGGAAGCCCATGTGCCCAGAGAAAAAAAAAAACAAATTACGTGCAAAAAAGGGGGGGGGTTTGAGATGGTACTACTCTGACTGCATCTGACTGGCAACATCCTTTTCTACAATACTCATCAATCTTTTGTCATTTATGGAAATTATAACAGCATCAAAATGCCGTATGGTAGGCAGCCTGCTATCTTGAGCTACAACTAGATCTTAAAATCCATCACCGAAGAGCCTTCAGAAAAAAAAAACAAACGAGCTACAGGTTATTTAGCTACATGGAATCATGGGACCTTGTACCCTCGGCTGGAGGTAGCCAGACAAGGCAGGATTAAAGAAAAAAGGAAATAAAAGGCTTTTATAATTTGGTGCCTTCACAAGCTCTTTATAGCAAAAATGGACATACCTGAAGGGCCTATCAAAAGTATTTAAAAAGGAGAAAAACTCACATTCAGAGGGTAAAAAATGTTTGGCAAGTGGTCTGGATCCAAAATAGTCATTTTTTTGCATCACTCAATAACATGTATGAAGTGTGCTTTGCATTACATTTGGAGTGCTCTCTTCATACTCTAAGACCAGGAGATACAAAAATGCAGACCTCTACTTTGCTGTCTCATTTAATTTGTACACATAGTACAGGTTCAATGCAGTATTATGAATATACATTGGACTCCAGACTTAGCCAACAATTTCAAGTCCACATTTTCAATGGCAGTAATGGTATCCCTGGGTAGTATAAAATGGGTGGCTCTAATGATTTGTGGCACAGTATTCGATATGAGCTGTGTTTGGCTTTTATCCTCATGCAGCTCATGCTATAACTATTATAGTATCAATGTTTTACTATGACACCGTACTTAGACTAGGCAAAGAATGGAAGGTGCATGTGTTGAATATGGAATCTGATTGGTCAGCTCTGATTGGAAGATTCCATATTCAATACACAATTCCTCCTATAACATTTTAAACTGGGCGTGTAGCCCATGGAGACCCTAGGACCCCACCAATCTGCTAACTTGCATATTTTCTAACAATAAAGACCAGAGTGCTCTTAGCTTGGCGAACCCATCAAAATTAGTTGATTTTCATGATTAATTTAGTTACTGCTTTCTTCTAAGCTTAAGAAAGCCATCAAATGCCAAACTGCTGCAAATCAAGTGGCACAGTGGTAAGGGTCAGAGAGAGAGAGGAGACTTTGATACTGGATATTAACGCAAGCTGAAGAAGGCTTTCCCGTATTTATACTGAAGTTAAAATTCCTTTTCAATGTCATCATCAACTTGATGGAAGAAGGATTTTGTTTGAACAATATGACCTCTGGATAATCTTTTCCAAATGTATATCTGTAGACATCTGCTGTCCTACAGAAAAAGGGTGCATGACTGTACAGTGAGCAAACAACCCCTACACTGGCCTTGTGTCAGGCAAATAAAAGCAGTCAGCCAGGAAAATCCAAGCAACATGATCGATCCTCCCACCACAAACATCTCAGGGATCAGTAAACCAGGGGTGTCTGCTAAATTCGGATGGATACAACGTGACAAGCTTCAAATCAGCATAGATTAATAGATTAGACATTGTAACCAGTTACAACAATACAATGCACCAGAATGTACTTGTGGATTCAGCAAGTGGATTCATTGCATGGTTGCAGGCATGCTGTTTAGAAAAAAACACCTTTTTTCACCTGAAACCTTGCATTGTTGTTCATCTCCTTGTCCACTGGTGTGGCATAACAATCTGGATAAATACAACAGTGCCCACAGACAATGTAATGCCCCAAATCCTTTGAATTATATAGCAACCATCTGTTGTCTGTAGGTATTTTAAAACAGTGTTTCCCAAAGTGTGTGATGAGTTTTACTGGTGGAAAAGACACTCATTGTGGGTAGGATACTGGAGGGTTTAGGAACACTAAAAAGAACTGTATTGTGGTAGTATGTCCATGTTTATAACATACCCACAGATATTGTTGTCCAGTTCCTACTGTTTCCCCCTTACAAGTCAACATAGGATGTATCAAAACCATACCTACCCCTGTTTCTCAGTAATCTAATAATGAATGGTAGTCAGAGTTGACCATTTGTGTTTGGAACCCAACAGTAGACACAAATGCCTGAGTGTGGTTGCATCATGTCTGCATAGCTGACCACCCTCTAGTGTCTATGGCCAGCATAACGCTACTGTCAGCTACCAGTGGCGGAAACAGATTATATGGCCATGGGTATATTCCAGTGAACATCTTAGGCAAGAAAGATTTCTAAATGGATAATGGCAATGTAGATGTGGTCATTTTTAGTAGTACAGGTGGAACTCAGACACTGCAAAAATGTGACAGAAGAGTTTGTGAAATACTGCTTTAAAGTACTTTGTGTTTGAAAAGTTTTAGGTTGCCCCACTTGCAAATATTATCTTCTTGTAGTCGATGGTAGATCATACAAGATTAAGAAAAAATAGTTTAATGGTTATAGTATTGTGTGTAAGTAAATCCATTGAGTAATGGCAAAAAAAAAAACCAGTGTAAACCTTGTTTAGTAAGGCATTTAGGACTATTTAAAATATAGCAACTATTTTAATTCTGACAACTGTGAATAAAAGGCTGATTTCTATCTGTAGTTGCACTTTGATTTTTGTTCTTTTTAAATAAGTATTTTAATTAAAATGGTAAAACTTTGTGACATCACTCAAATTATCTTTACTAACCTGTGGCTGACAGATGAACCATTTCATTATAGAACACATTTTAGCCCAAAGGTTAATGTCACACTGCTAAGAAAACCTACCTGCTCCACTGCATACAGTCTCTAAAACCAAAAACATCAGTACCATCATATTTGGCAACAGGATTCTGCAGTTGCTATAAAGCTGAATTTTGCCTGACCAGATTCCTGATGGTTAAAACAGATTAGATTTGAGATCCATCACTATTCAGCAATTGTAATGTAGACTTGTTTAGTATTCATCTTTTGACATTGAAAGCTATAGAAATCTTCTAGCCTATTTAGGCATTAAAACATCCGAATGTTACAGGAAACTTGAAAAGAAACTAACAAAATTAAAATAAAAAGTGAACAAATCTGAGTTGCCCTGGACATCTTGCTGATGTTATCATACGGAATAGTCCTGTATTTGCTAACAACCCATCAAGGCAATAGCAAATCACAGCGATCTGATTGGCTTATCCACCATTGTTTCCACTACTTCCTGGCTGGATCATGAAGTGCTGTTTTACCTGAGGTTCCAGTGACGGTCTTGTTACTGACCCGTCTTACCAAAACTTTTGAAACGGGTATTTTTGTCCTGGGAAGTTCACTTTTTGTAGGGTGATGTTGTGAAGTTGGGGTGCTGCTACTACTTGTATCAGCTGGTTGGCTGGGAGGATGAACTGGCAGATGTTTAATACTTCTGGGTATTTTGGATTCCTTTGCCTGGTTTGTTTTTGTTGGGCATGTGATGGTAACTGGCGAGAGTGCCTTGGAGTGAAGTTGACTTGGTCTTTTCTCCTCCGCATGCGCTCTTGCTGTGTTTTCATCTGTTTCTGTATATAGGTCATAGAGAGCATCTCCGCTGCAACTGTCTCTGGATAGAGCCTTCTTCCCAGAACTTTTTGAAGGCTCCTCCTCTGTCCCAGGTGTAGTTGAGTCCCAATAACCCTCATCACTGTTACGAACAGAATCTCGTTGCACCTTTCCTCGCCCTCTAAGATCCCCCTTTTCAATAGAATTAGTTGCATCCTGTCTCAGCTTATATGGCTTCACTCCATTCCCATCACATGTGCTCTCAGAACGTTTTTCCTCCCTTGAGGCCTGCCTACTCACTTTTCCCACCTCTTTGCTGGTGTCCTCAGCTTGGGGTATCATTCCCAAAAATTCTTGCATGTCATTATCGTCAACTTGATCCGGGCTTGCCATCTCCTCCCCTCCTCCTTGATAGGCAATAATGTTTGGGGTCTTTTTGGGGATAGCTTTCTTGCCATTCCCAGGGATAATCCTTGCACCGGCACTGCTACTGCTGCCTCCTTCATCGTCCGGCTCAGCAATAATATCGCCACATCCTGTAAGAGAGTCAAAGCTTTTCAGTGATGTAACATCAGCCAACATCAAACATATACGATCAAAAGATGGTTCAGAGGGTGGATCAACAGCAGAAGGGTCGGGAATGGCAATCTCTGGCCCACTATCACACTCAGGTTCAACAAAGGAAATACTGGTTATTGGAAGTTCACCTGTTAGTCTTTCATCCTTCTTATCCTGCAGGATCTCCACCTCTGGTTCAGGCAGTTGGCGGACATGGTCCACTTGTGGGCTACTCGCTGCATCCCCATCCTGAGGTTTTTCGGTGGGGTGTGTGAGGATGAGGGGGATTCCTTGTTTGCTTTCAACTGATGCTCCTCCGTTGAGTTGTTTACAACCTCACTCTGCTCCTCACAGGGCAAATCAGCTGTGACAGTCTCTGCAGGTACTTCAGGCTCACACAGCGGTTTTTGTATCTCCTCTTTAATGCATTCCAAGCTGGCTGTCAAAGAGCCAGACAGTATGAGCCCAGGTTGGCTTTCAGTGGCTCCCTCTTTATCTTCTTTGTAATTCTTATCTTTTCTATTCCATCTCATGCTGTTAAACAATCCCTTCAGTCCTTTCTTTTGTCTGCTGCTAGCTCTCTGGTCCACATTGTCCCCTTTCACATTCTCTAATCTGCCATTCTTTTTCAGCAAAGCGAAGAAGCTGTGGGATTTACCCACGGAGCTGTTGGGTGAGACATCTGTCTTGGTGGCGGTGACAGCCTGGCTGTTTATGTCAGTGCTTGGTGGATCAGCAGCAGCTTGTGTTGCACACTGCTCTTCTTTCTTGCTGCTCTCCAGCACAACATCAGCTAATCCATCCAGGGTCTTGCTGCGTACCATGCCCATTTTGCCTGTGTTCTTCCCATCTCCCTTGTTTCTCACCCCAAATATCGATGGCATGGCACTGCCAGATTTCCTCTTCCCAAATAATTTGAAAGCGGTCTTATTAATCTTTCCTGATGGCTGTTCGGCTGCCGGGGACTCGGCACAATCACAATGCAAGTCCATGTTTGCCTTCTCCCTGATCCTGCCTCCTTCCTCCTGCAGACCCCCGCAGATGCTTGATGCTGAATTTCTCACTGGCAGCTTCTCGACTGCTCCTGTTCATCTCCATGGCGACCAGGGAGGAGGGGGGGATAAGCAGTTTTTCGTCAGTAATGGGGCTAGTGCCAGTTCACTGTCATCCATTCTAAATCAATCTGCAAACTGCAACCCAATACAGGCTCCCCCTTTCCTAAAAGGTTTATGTAACTTGTCCATTTACCCACGGCGCATGTTTGGCGGCAGGTATATCCCTGTCAGACAATATTCGGCTCGCAGAGCACAAGCTGTTTAGCTGCTTGCCTCCGCCATCTTTTAGTAACAATACATGCAAATGTGGGCCAAAGTAAAGGGTGAGATCTGTATCCTGATGTGGATTTAACCCTCGCAATGTCACATCTCTACATTCTTTTTTTTTTCTTTAGAGGGAGGGGCGCTTTGCATGTTATGCTCCATTAGAATTATTCTATAAAGAAGAAAACTGAAGGGCAATAGCCTACAGGAGGAACCTTTTCATTGTTCTCACTGCTTTAAACTAACAGGAAAGCAAAGCTGATCAGCTGTTAGGGATTACCCTGCCTCACACAACACCCCTGGTTTGACTGGGGAATTATTTCTGGCAGTTATAGGGCAATGGTCAGCACACAGCGGCGAGCATGCTGGAATATTTTACTGTAATTCAAGAAAAAAAAATATTTTAGTAAAATGGACTAAGCTGGATGTAATATGATTTATATATTCATAATAAGGGTTGAACTTTCAGCTGACGCAGCTCTTCATTTATAAGTGGTAATGTGCAGAGGTTTAATGGATGTTAAATGATGTCATACCAGGTATGATGTCATCCTGCTGCTGAAGGGAGCCTTACACATTAGCTGCCTTCTTTGTGAAACCCGCTAAGCCACCACTGACCACCACTTAAACTGGGAATAAATGCTTAGAATTTTAGTAGACATTCGTACGACATATAAGAAAAAAATCAGTCATCGGAGCATTTGATGATGCCACTGAATCAACTAATATTGTTTGAAGGCCGTAAGTAATTGTAACCTTGAATCCAAGATTTATTAAACAGGTTTCATTTATTGCTTATGAAATCGATGAAGAATAATACAAATGAAAGTTTATTAACCTCTCTGGCGGTATGATTATTTCAGATTTTTGGTGCTGAAAGCGGTACCATTATTTTGCATGGAAATTTGGCGTTTTTTTATATTGTAGGCCTGTAATTTTTAGGAATAACTCACTGAAATCTGTCTGAACAAGAGTCTAGTAAACATCCCGGGTAGGATAAAACTTGAAACACGAAATCATAAATTATAATTTAATAAATAATCATAAAAAATAATAATACAATAATAATACATTTAATTCAATAATATAATCAAACCAAAAACACTGAAATTTGAAATATAGCGCCAAGTTCGCACATCACTGAGCAAAGTCGCAAAATCGTTTTTAGTGTCTGATGACGAATTTCCCCACGAATCATTATCACTCAATTCTGCAAGTGGTTCTAATTTACTATCGCTGTTCTCTAGCTGGTCTAAAACCGCTTTTGACCTAAAGGGACACTTTTTGTCATAGTTTATGTTAAGAGGGCACTCCGATGGGCACATGTATTGTTAAGGGGGCACATATGGGCACATACTGTGGAAAGGGGCACTCTGATGGGCACATGTGATGGAAAGGGGCACTCTGATGGGGAATATGATGTAAAGGGGCACTCTGATGGGGAAATATGATGAAAAGGGGTACTTTGAGTGTAAGGGGGCACACTGAAGGGAATACCTGGTGTAAGGTGGCACTATGATGGGGATACCCGATGTAAAGGGGCACACTGATGGGGACAACTGATGTAAAGGAGCACTCTGATGGGCACACCTGATGTGATGGGGATACATGATGTAAGGGGGCACGCTGATGAGCGCACCCTATGTAAGGTGTCACCGTGATGGGGGATCCTTATATAATGGGGCACTGTAATGGGAACAACTGATGTAAGGGGGCACACTGGTGGGAGACACCAAATGTAAGGGAGCCTTCGGATGCAGAAACCTGATGTAAGGGGGCACTCTGATGGGAATGCCTGATGTAAGGGGGCACCCTGCTGGGAATGCCCGATGTAAGGGGGCACTCTGATGGAAATGCCCAATGTAAGGGGGCACTCTGAACTGATTTATGGGGGAAGTCTGATGGTGGCACCCAATGTAATAAATTACTCTGAAGGGGAAACCTGATGTTAAGGGGGAACACTAATGGGGACATTTATTTTTGGACCTCGGCCAGAAGAAGATTTTAGTGACCGGGACCTCCTTGAATTTTAATTCAATACCCGTGTTGTAGTGAATACTAAAATATTTTTAGTTTTGCACACACCATACAAACGCCTTTATTTGTATAGTTTTTTCATATATCCCTTTACATACATAATCATTTAAAAGAATGAATGTTGGTGACCACTAATTCCAGGTAAAACATTTCCAAGCACATGCGCATTGCCTTAAAACGTAACTTTATTCATAACAACTTGATAAAAAATAATGTTCTTCAGCAAGGATCATGCATTCCACATTAATAATTATGCTACCAAACTTAGTGTGTGCTGTAAATTGCCTCCAGCATTGTTCCTGTTTCTTCTTGATGGAGGCTGCCAATTTGCTGAAGCCCGGAGTCCCTGAACAGCAGTAAATCTTTAGGCTGTCAGCAGATCAGCCTCTACTTTTTCAACACAGTTCCGAAAAATAAAGAGCAGCTGAGCATGTGCAGAGCAGGGTGAGACAGTGTATTACTGGATTTTAAACGGAATATGCATTTATTTTGGATGTTTTACAAAGCTATACCTGCAATAGGGGCCAGACTGAAGTTATCTAGTAGGACTTATTTTTTTGACTAAAGTTATTATTTTTTTCCTGACGAGACCATATTAACAGTTAGAATTTAATTTCAGATCAGAAGCAAAAGAAAAATTTCCATCCTTTGCCTGAACTTGGAAATCCAGTCAAATACTAACTATACTTAACCCTGCTCCCACCCCCATTCTAAGCCCTATGCTAACTACCCTGTAGAGGAAAGATTTCTATACAGGTATTTTTTTTGCAGTTATAACAACACATATATATATAACAGTTATAACAACACGATTTCAGTTGTATAACTGTTTAACAGACCAAAAGGGAGAAAACAAGAAAAGTTCAATGTTGGGGTTTATCTAAAGTAAACCTTTATTAATACAATTGATGACTTCCTTTTGAAAATACTATTTTCTTGGCTTCTGTGCTGACTCTCAAGCTTCTATATCAGGGGTATTGAATTAAAATTCAAGGAGGTCCGATCACTAAAATCTTCTTCTGGCCGAGGTCCTAAAATAACTGTCCCCATTAGTGTTCCCCCATACATCAGGTTCCAACTCCAAAGTAATTACATTGGGTGCCACCATCAGACTTCCCCAATAAATCAGTTGCCACCGTCAGAGTACCCCCCCCCCCATATCAGGCGTCCCTGTCAGAGCGCCCCCTAAATAATGTGTTCCCATCAGAGTGCCCCCATACATCAGGCATTTCCATCAGAGTGCCCCCTTACATTTGGCATTCCCATCAGGCATTGGGCATTCCCATCAGAGTGCCCCCTTACATTGGACATTCCCATCAGAGTGCCCCCTTACATCTGGCATTCCCATCAGAGTGCCCTCTTACATCAGGTTTCTGCATCAGTAGACCCTCTTACATTTGGTGTCTCCAATCAGTGTGCCCCCTTACATCAGTTGTCCCTATTAGAGTGTCCCATTATATAAGGTTCCCCCATCACGGTGACACCTTACATTACATGTGCCCATCAACGTGCCCCGTTAACGTAAACGATACCCATCAGAGTGTCCCTTAACATAAACTGTGCCCATCAGAGTGTCCCTTAACACAATATGTGCCCATCCCATCAGCGTGCCCCTTCAATATAAATGTGTCCATCACAGTGCCCCTTAACATAAACTGTGCCCATCAGAGTGCCCCTTAACACAATATGTGCCCATCCCATCAGAGTGCCCCTTAATATAAATGTGTCCATCACAGTGCCCGTTAACATAAACTGTGCCCATCAGTGCCCCTTAACACAATATGTGCCCATCCCATCAAGTGCCCCTTAATATAAAATGTGTCCATCAGAATGCCCCTTAACACAATATGTGCCCATCCCATCAGAATGCCCCTTAACATAAAATGTGCCCATCAGAGTGACCCTTTACATAAAATAAGTGGCACATTTTATTTTAAGGGGCACTCTGATGGGCACATTTTATATTAAGGGGCACTCTGATAGGCACATTCTATGTTGTGCCAATCAGCATTACTCTTTAACATTAAATGTGCCCATCAGAGTGCCCCTTAATATAAATGTGCCCATTAGTGTGCCCCTGAAAGAACACACCATACCTGAGGGCAGACAGGAGTGGGAGGCAGGAGCTACCCAGGATCCTTGCTGAAGGGTGCGGGGTGCGAGCTTGTGGACAGGCAGGGAGTGGGAGCCAGGAGGGACAGTGAGCTGCAAGAAGTGGGGCGCACGCGTGATGTAATCGGTTGCTGGGACGGATCTGTCATTCTAGTCTGGCGGGCTAGAATGTAAGGCTTTTTTTAGGATTTGAAAAGAATAGGGAAAGATTAGAACATCTCTTGAGTCCTTTTTGCTGTCTGTGTCCCCATTGGGGAGATGTACCATCACTATCTCTCACACTTTTGAGGGGATTTTCCTTACTTTGGAGAGATTTTGTCTTACTTACTGTGGGTTTGGTTTTTAGATATACAGTGCCTTGAAAAAGTATTCATACCCCTAGAAAATTTCCACATTTTGTCATGTTACAACCAAAAATGTAAATGTATTTTATTGGGATTTTATGTGATAGAGAACACAAAGTGGCACATAAATGTGAAGTGGAAGGAAAATGATAAATGGTTTTCAACATTTTTTTCAAATAAATATTTGAAAAGTATGGCATACATTTGTATTCAGCCCCCTTTACACACCTAACTAAAATCTACTGGATCCAATTGCCTTCAGAAGTCACTTAATTAGTAAATAGAGTCCACCTGTGTGTACTTAAATCTCAGTATAAATACAGCTGTTCTGTGAAGTCCCCAGAGGTTTGTTAGAGAACATTAGTGAACAAACAGCATCATGAAGGCCAAGGAACACACCAGACAGGTCAGGGATAAAGCTGCGGAGAAGTTTAAAGCAGGGTTAGGTTATAAAAAAAATATTCCAAGCTTTGAATATCTCACGGAGCACTGTTCAATCCATCATCCGAAAATGGAAAGAGTATGGCACAACTGCAAACCTTCCAAGACATGGCCGTCCACCTAAACTGACAGGTCAGGCAACAAGTGCCTTAATCAGAGAAGCAGTCAAGAGGCCCATGGTAACTCTGGAGGAGCTGCAGAGATCCACAGCTCAGGTGGGAGAATCTGTCCACAGGACTATTAGTGGCGCATTCCACAAATCTGGCCTTTAAGGAAGAGTCCTTCCACTTCACAATTATGTGCCACTTGGTGTTGGTCTATCACATAAAATTCCATGACAAAATATGGAAAATTTCAAGGGGTATGAATACTTTTTCAAGGGACTGTACTTCAAGGGTATCATAACGTGCAGCTGGCATAAGTACCTGAACCTTTTTTATATTGCCCCTTGTAAACCACTGCACAGCAGACGTAATACTGTGAGAGGGAGAAAATAATTGTATTAATATCCAGTCATGCAAGGCAGGTTGCCCCTACATGCTGTTCATGTAGTTTACTCTATATGAAGCCATTTGTTGCATCTGTTTAATGATCAGTTGCTACTCCTGAATTTATTCTCCCTTAAGAAGAGGCTTTTAAGGGGCATATAGTCACCATGTACAGTATAAATACATAAACAGTCCATATAGTAAAATTGCTAAAGTTGTTCACTTTAGGATCATTGCAATTGACAAGGAAGCATGTATAGCACCTGGGAGAAAAGTTGGGGGTTTAGGGTTCTGAGGATTTTGTTTTGTTTTTTTTTATCATTATTCAAATGTATGTTTATTAGAATACTTTAAAGGGTAGAATACAACAAAGTGTCTTTCATTTAGCTTTCACACATGAGATGACCAAATATATGACCAACTGATAGGGAACCTCAAAAATAGGGGATAGAACAGGTATAACAGCACGTTTTTATAAACTGGCAGCAAGCAATAAAAGAGGTGATAACAATATTCTGGTAGTATACAGTCCATAGATATGTAAAGAACCATAGTCATTGAGCTGTCATTTTATATTGTAGCGTGATCGATCCACTAAATGTCATTGGCCTAGTGGGTGAGAATCAAGCATCCAAGTTTTGACATCATACCAAGGAAAGCACTGTAGCCCATGAAGATTATAGGAAAGAGAGGATACGGAGAATGTTTCCAACCAAATTGGGTGAGAATCAAGCATCCAAGCATTCAAGCATCCAAGTCTTGACATCATACCAAGGAAAGCACTGTAGCCCATGAAAATTATAGGAAAGAGAGGATATGGAGAATGTTTCCAACCAAATTGGTAGAGGAAAGATAAAGGGAAAGAGGGAAAGAGAGTAGGGGGAGGGGAGTAGTTTTTTAACTTGTATATTAAATTGTATCTGTTGGTTATATATGAAGAACATGTAGGTTTTCAATCTGGCTTTTTAACTATACATTTTAGTAGCACAATTGAGCTACCAAATGCCTTGTGTAGCTCTGGCTTAATAAGGTGACTCCCCGCCAAGGGAGGTCTGGGAACTTTAGCCTGGGAGGACAAACACAACCATCTAGGCCTTTTATGGAGAGGGTAGAATTCTGTGAGTCAGTTGCAGTGCTCCATGATGCCTCATTGATTGGTAGGTGTTTCTAAATGACCCAGTTTATTGTGACTCTCCTTTTTTTACATTTGCAAGTATTAGCTACCTTTGCGGTTCTCGGCACTCAGTGACAAATTAAGCGGCAAAGGTATTTAGCACTGGAAGACTTCCCTTTGGCAAACATGGTGATTGGAGGACTGAACAAGATTGCTACATAATGTCCAGCATGTGTCCCTGACTGTGGGTCCTGATCTGATTGAGGTCTG